GTACATCATATTGCATATGACCGGAGTGACCTGTTGACCTTCCCTGGTAGATGAGGCACATAGGGAGCCGCCGCACTATATGACGCGCGCAGCGACGCGACAAATGACGATTGTCCTGGCCGTCTCTAGATTATTCTATAAACTATATGCTAATATTCAATGTTATAGCCCACCCATCTAGACCATCTTGTACCGTGGTATTAAATATCATGCAATCAATAAAGATCAGGAGAAAACGGGGTTTAGTGAACGGCTTACGCCAGCATAGAAGAAGAAAAGACCAACCATTGTCACGCTTTCGTCGTATCACACTTGTTTCGTCTAATGGTGAAAGAAAGTCAGCTTTGCTTGAAGTATCACGCTTCCTCCTTACTTTAGGGTTCCTGAATCTCGAGAACTCACTGAACATGGCAACGTTTTCTCAAGTAAGTGAAGGAGAAGTAAGACCGAGAAGAATAGAATAACCAAGTACTAGTATATGTAGAGGAAGCCTTACCCCAGCCCATTTTCAGCGATTTTGACCTTGACGTCTTTGGGGATAATGCGTGGCGGCTCAACTTTCTCATGTTTTGTGTCTTCGAGAATTGCTTTGGCTTTTGCAGGATTATTTATTCCAGAAAACTCAGGATGTGGCTTCTCTGAAAAATCCACTGCAGAGAAACTGCTGAAACCGCTGCGAAACTCATCAGCTTCACAAGTATTCAAAGGCATGAAAATACCTGTATGCGCAGTGTAGAGAGATTCCACTCCTTCTGGAATGATCACAGATAAGGCAGTCCCTAGAAGTAGTCCAGCTCCGAAAATGCTTACCATGCGCATTCTTGACTAAACTATTAGAAAATAAAACGCAATTCCAAATGCATAAGCTGAAATTTTAGCATAATTAGTGAAAATTTTTAAGTAGAAGTCGGTTTGCTTCAGCAATCATGATATACGTTTAGTAGTAGGCAACCACATGAAATTTATAAGCATTCTAGTGAATATTTAAAATCAAGTACACTTTCTTCGCGGCGGATGAAAAGGAGTGCTCAGCGCGGGTTACGGGGCTCTTGCCAACCAGACGTGCTCTCGCTGCGAGGGTCCAGGGGTATTTTCACGAGGCATCTACCAGTCCAGTAGTTGAAGGGAGAAGGTAAAGGAGGAGGGATCAGAGAAGGAAGGAAGGAAAAGAAGGAAGGAGGAAGAAAAAAGGAAAGGAGGCTTCCCGGTTGACAAGTGCCCTGAGACGGCCCGGCGCGATGGGTTTGGCGCGGCGCCGAACCTGATTTCCATACACGAACGCGGCCTTACTGCCACTTAACACCACTCAGTTCGCGTGATCATAACACTTTGGAGAAAATAAAGAGACACGAATTACAGAATGAACTTGTAAAAAAAGCAAAAACTAAAATCTCATGCACCAACCTCGGACATACTGAACATCATCGGTACAGATCCTGCAAAATAGCTGCCAATGAACATAGAACCTGACAGAACTGTTAAAAAACCGATGCCTTCCATGACTTCCTGAAACATTTTATGGTCGCCATGCGTGATGCCAGGCATCATGAGAATAGTTCCAAAACGAGGCATTCAGGATAACTGCAAGTGACAAGTTATAACATGTTTCTGACATGTAGAATAGTGTTTCTGGCGGGTATGTGACAAGAGGGTCGTAATTTGCCGCGCTGCTGGGCTTCGCGTGCGACGTCGCGGACGATGGTTTCAGGCAGAAGGTGGCGACAACATGCAACTAAGGACCGAAAACAGTAATGAGTGTCTACGATGACGGGATCTACATATCCCGGTGCCTTCATTCGACGAGTTTAAAACGAGTATGAAAACGAAAACGCCATCGCCAGCGCATCCTTGGCGGTGCGGCCGAATTACGATTCTCTTTAACGTCTCCCGTTTCTGGCGGCGATAGCAATAAAAGAACGCTTTTAGAGTAAGTAATAGTTAATACTAGAGAGTAATTGAACGCAATCGGCACTGACGTAGTTCGCTCGGTAGTGTCTCGCCCAACCTAGGCTTAGTGAAGTACGTGCCCCCTACTATCCCTGGGCGAGTCTAATTGCCTGCACTGTGAGCCTAAACCTTGGTCAGGGGAGACACATAGCTGCGATGTTCTCTCCCCCCCCTAACTAAATAGCGTCCACATCTCTTGCCAAAATGATCATGCAACGGTTACTACATCAACATGGTCTTCTGTATAAAAGCCCCACGCTAATGCAGTGCAGAACTGCAATCTACTTCGCTTCGATCGAAGTGAGGCGTGATACGTTTGAGCGATGCCTAGACTTGTTCTCCACGATCTTGAAGCGAGCAAGAGACAAGACAAAATCATTCGTATCACTCGTTTTCTATGCACTCTTCTCGCACCCGCTCTTCGAACTGGCGGAAAACGGGTTTGGCGCTGTGGCACACTCGTATTGCCTGACACGCCCATTCATCCATAGCGAACTAGAGTATAAACCAATCCATATGTATCAACGGGGCGTGTCAGTATGAAGTCGACTTTGAAGCGGCGTTTTCCTTTCTACCAATCATTGCTCATCTCATATAGAAAAGACTGTTGAAAAACGAGCTGGCACCACGCCAAACCCATCCCGCCAGACACGCCCCTTCATCCGCAGCGAATGAAATCACATCTAGCCTTTTTTGCAGACTCTCCGAGACCAAGAGCTCACGATTTGAACGCGGTCTGGTCCTCGTCACGACTGGGACCCCTTGAAATAAACAGGAATAGGATGTCGTAGGGATGGATCAATAACTTCAACACATTTTAGCAAAAACAAATGTACGTATATCTGTGCAATTTCGATAATATTTCCATCAAATTGGGTTTTTAGGCCACAAAACCTCATTGTCATACCAGACACCCATTCATACCATTTCGGTTCACAGATGGCCGCACGAATTGTGAGCAATTCGAAGTTAAAAATAAGCTTACATATAGATAACAATGAAGTTAAATAATATAGTTAGTTAAATAATAGAAAAGATAATATAAGCGGATAAAGCAGATAAGGAGGATAGGAAGCCAAGCGTTTGCTATTCCTTCTCGAATTGGTCACGCATTCTACTTAGCATCTTAATCCCAGA